CAGGTGGTGACTTCACCCACTGCGGCACGGCACGTTTCACCAGCTCACTGGCCACTCCCTACCCAGCAAGTTGACACCTAAAATTAACCCTTGTGTTACAAAAGATCTCAAAAAGTTCATGGAAATGCAGATTAGGAAGAACTGTGAGGGCCACAGTTTGGCACAGTGGCTGAGACACCTCTTGGGAGTCCTGCGTCCCTCACTGGGGAGCTGAGATCGGAGTCCAGCTTCCTGCTGATGCCCACTGTGCACGGCAGCTGTGAGACTCGGTGCTTGAGCCATTGCCACCCAGGTGGTAGACCTACATCGAGCCCCTGGCTCTGGCCTGGCCTGGCCTGTCCATAGCTGTTGTGGGCATGTAGGGAGCAAACCAGTAGATTGGAGAGATCTCTCTCTCTAACTCTTCCTCAATCTTCCTCTGCCCTTCTAATAAACAAGATTTTTAAATAAAAAATTGTGCATGGATTTCAAAACTGTTTTTCTGACAATAAATCTGTGCTTTAAGAAGTTGACTGAGGCCGGTGCTGCGGCAGAGCAGGTTAAGCTTCTGCCGTGGTGATGCATCCCAGATGAGTCTTGGCTGCTCTTCCAGTCTAGCTCTCTGCTAATGGCCTAGGAAGGCAGTGGAAGGTAGCCCGGATGCTTGGGCCCCTGTACCAGTGCAGGAGACCCCAAAGAAACTCCTGGTTCCTGGCTCTGGATCAGTCCAGCTCTAGCCATTGTGGCCATTTAGGGGGTGAACCAGTGGGTGGAAGACCTCTGTCTGTCTATCCCTCTCTCTCTATCTCTGCCTCTCAAATAAATAAATAGATAAATATTTAAAAAAGAAAACTTTATTGGGCCAACACTGTGGTGTAGCAGGTTAAGCTGCCATCTGCAGTGCTGGCGTCCCATATGGGTGCCAGTTCAAGTCCTGGGTGCTCCGTTTCGGATCCATCTCCCTGCTAATGCACCTGAGAAATCAACGGAGGATGGCCCAGGTCATTGGGCCTTTGCACCCATGTGGGAGATCTAGAAGAAGTTCCTTGCTCCTCGCTTCAGCCTGACCCAGCCCTGGCAGTTGGAACCATTTGGGGAGTGAACCAGTGGATGGAAGATCTCTCTCTCTCTCTCTCTCTCTCTCTCTCTCTCTCTCTCTCCTTGTCTCTCTGTAATTCTGCTTTTCTTGAAAAAAGAAAAAACTTTATTATTATTTATTTCAAAGACAGAAATCTTCCATCTGTTAGTTCAAACCCCCCCGTACCCATGACGGCCAGGGATGGGCCAGGCCAAAGCTAGGAACTCAATCCACGTCTCCCACTTGGGTGGTGGTGACCCAAATACTTTTGCCTTGACCTGCTGCCTCCTAGGGTCCTCATTAACCAGAAGCTACAAGTGGGAGTACAGTTGGGAATCAAACCTAGGCACTGCCATGTGAGAGGCAGCATCCCATGAGGCATCTGAACCGCCATGCCAAACACCTGCCCCCAAACTTAAAACTATTTAATTCCAGTTTCCCATGAGCCTAGTGATGTTTTGAGAACAGGTTGGAAGGGGGCTTAGGACTCCGCTTTGAGGCAGTCAGGCAGTCAGACCTCGTTGGAGCGATACTTAAGGAAAACAGCAGCCTTGCCAACAGACCAAAGTGCTTGAGAATTCCTAGAAGCCAGAAAGTGGGTGGGCAGCTGAGAAGGAGGGTGCTCGCTCCTGGGGAGCCAGCAGCTGGCAGGGCACGAGCACTGCAGTGAGGGGCCGGCAGGGGCTGGCCCTGGGGCGCCAGCCTCTGTGTGGGCTGCGCTTTTGCCCAAGGAGAAAGCCAGGACCCAGCCTGCAAAGAGCCTGGGAGGGACTGTGGATAAGCAGGGCCTGGCAGCAGACGGGTGGAGCAAGTGGGCATGGAGCTCTGCCCAGAGGGGAGTCGGGGAAGTCTCCTCTCCTGGACAGCGGCTGCGGTCCCCCAGGGTGCACCTCACAGGTGCGCTGCACGGGGGCCACTCACACGGGTCCTCACTGATGGCGGCTGAGGTCCCCCAGGGTGCACCTCACAGGTGCGCTGCACGGGGGCCACTCACACGGGTCCTCACTGATGGCGGCTGAGGTCCCCCAGGGTGCACCTCACAGGTGCGCTGCACGGGGGCCACTCAGGGGTCCTCACTGATGGCGGCTGAGGTCCCCCAGGGTGCACCTCACAGGTGCGCTGAACAGGGACCACTCAGGGGTCCTCACTGATGGCGGCTGAGGTCCCCCAGGGTGCACCTCACAGGTGCGCTGAACAGGGACCACTCAGGGGTCCTCACTGATGGCGGCTGAGGTCCCCCCAGGTGCACCTCACAGGTGCGCTGAACAGGGGCCACTCAGGGGTCCTCACTGTCCTGCTCAGCAGGGAAGATCCCAAGAAGAACCAGCGTGACAGAGGGACAACTTCTGAAGACCTGCAGCCTTGTCCTCAGAAAAAGTCGAGAGGACATTGCTTATGTGAAGTGAACACGCAGGTGTGCCATGAAAAAGAGGACGGATAAGGACACGCGGTTAGGAGTTCAAGACGTGACTGGGGAAGGCGTGCGAGAGCAGGATGGAAATGACTGCAGGTGAGGTTGTGACCTGGTTGTCCTGGAGGGGAAACATCCCCAGACACTGCACAGGGACGCAAAGGAGGGAACCGCAGGCAGTGGGGTCCCACGTGGAGCACAGGCGAGGCGGGCAGCCGGCGTCAGCCTTCCCCTGCGGCCGGGGGGCTGGTTGGCCGGGGAAGTGGTCTGTGCACTGCTTCCGCACGACCGCCAAGTCGGGCAGTCAGCCGTCTGTAGGAGAAGCCTGGCAGTGTGGGTGAGGAAGCTCGGTGCTGGCCAGTCAAGCTGGGAAGAAACCGATGCCGGGGGCAGCCACTCCCCCTGCACCTGCAGCCCGCGCACATGTCAGAGAAGCTGACAGAAGTCTGACGCCCTGCAGGAGTCTTCAGCAGGAACCGGAGTCCAGAGGGAAATGACTGTGTCTGGGAGTCTGACTCAGCAGAATTCGGAGGCAAAGCAGCTGCCAGCATGAAGCAGCTCGGACAGTCTTTACAAGCAGGCGCACCGTGCGAGAAAATTACTCTGGGAGGTATTTTAGCAGAATCGAAAAGGGAAGAAGGCAGGAAGACTGGCTGGGTACCTTGCTGGAGCTGAGCGGGGTCTGGGGTCAGAGGGAAGCGACGGGGAAATCGGCTCCATGCGTGGGAACACCGGGTTCCGTGTCACTTAGGATGGCATCCATCGAGTACGCGTTCTGTTCTAGGAGCTCTGCTTACACGCCCACAGTGCCATGAGTGCTGGTCGTCAGTCTAGTGTGTTCAGGAAGGACCTACAAACTGTGACAGACTTAATGGTTACAGAACAGGAGGAGAACCTGGTTCTTGGGGCTGTAAAGTGTCTCGTTAACTGAAATGACCCGCGTGTGAGAAGGAAGCGCAGGGAGCAGCCTGCCACCTTCCTGCCTGCACAGCTGCCAGTGTGCAGCCGGGCTCGCCGAGGCGCTGGCCTGGCTGAGGAGCGGCTGTGGTGGGGAAGGGGACGGCGGGCGCCGCGTCCGCTGGGAGCCTGCAGGCCTTCGGGCTTGGACTGCCTCTTGTTGGGGATCAGATGGCCTTCGTTCTGCTGGAAGCACTAGGCCTTTTCCGAGTCCTGAGAACTGCTGTTCGTCGGTTCGGGCGGTTCTGCGTCTCCCGTCCTCCCACTGGAACCGCTACTCGGGCAGGTGGAGCTCCTGTCTTGATTTCTCCTTCATTTTCTTCCTTCTACCTCTCTGCTCGCACTTGAGTGACTCCGTGGATGTGTCTTCCAGTTCCACGATTTCCCCTTCAGCCAATTTTTCTTTATTTGAATGCCTGCGTTTTTTATTTTTATGAGTTCTGCTTTTGGATCTTTTCCAAGTTGGCCTTTGCTTTCACAGTGTGCTTATTCTGTGGAGGTGGTTTTCTTGTTTTGTATTATCTTGTATTTTTGTCATGTCAATTGAAGAGTCCCCCACTACCTGTAGTTCCGTGGATGTGCCCTGCTGACACCGGTCCCAGGGAGTTCCTGTGTGTTCTGCGATTTTGCACTGCAGGGCTTCCCCGTGTCTCGAGCCTGCGCCAGTGGGCAGGTGTGCTGGACCACACAGGCATTCGCGTGTCGTGGTTTTGTGTTTGTCAGGGGATTTGTGCATTTTCCAAGTTCTGGAGCCATTTTTGATACTTTGCTCAGGGATTCCTATCCAGTGAGTGGAACACACTTCAGAATCATGTTTTTCAAGAATGATGGTGTCACCCCCAATGCAGTGGCCCAACAATAATTGAATGAACCTAATTAAAAATTTCAGAAGAAATCCTATCAATAGGAAATGGGTTCTTAGCATTTTGAAAAAACACAAACACAATGCTAACCCACCCCATTTTTCTTTACAGCTGGGAAAAGGTGTCCAAAAACGTTAAGTGACTTGGGCTGAGACACAGTGGATTCCAGGCAGAGCAGTGCCCCTGCTGGGGTCCTTGCTGGTAACTGCATGGTAGCTCCGTGCAGATGCCGGTGGCGAGGCAGACCTGCGCTTTGTCTCTCCCCCTTCTTGACGGGGCACCGTTCTCTGTGCCGTGCAGTCAGAGCAGTGCTCTTCTCTCCAGTTCTCTCCGTAGAGACCCTGGAGGACTCTGCCTTGGCAGAATCTGGCTCGGCGGCTCAGTGCTGTCTCCCTTGGTATCACACCCTCGCTTGCAGGTGAGCCTGCCGCCTGACTGTGCCCCCCCCCCGCCCCGCCGTCCCTCGCAGAGCACCGCCGTGTTCACTGCACACAGGCACTCCGTCAGGATCCTCTGGTTGGGAAGTATTAGCAATTGCTCTTGCATTGTTTCCTTTCTGTACTGGGTAACAGAACTTTCCAAGACTCGTGGGAAGTCTTCAGGAGTTCATGCCCTTTGCGTGTCTTCCAGGAAACGCACACAAAGCGGTGATTCATAGTCACTTATATAATTTAAAGAACATTATGATGTGTGTTTTGTGTTCTGTTTGCAGAACAGTGTGTTCTGAACCTCGGCGCAGAGCAGGAGAGCCTGGGGCTGACGGCACGTTACACTGTTTACGCTGAAGGAGCCTGTGTGCGGACAGGAAAGCACTGACTGTTCACATGGATCCCATGGAGCTGAGAAGTGTCAGCAGCGCCCCTGATGCTGAGCGCACCGGAGGAGAACGTGGGCAGGATGGCTGCAGCTGGACGGGAAACGCAGCAAAGGCGGCAGTGAACGGGTAAGCGGTTAAAAAGAACAGGCTCCAGGGCTGGCGCTGTGGCTCACGTGGTTAATCCTCCACCTGCGGCGCCGGCATCCCATATGGGCGCCGGGTTCTAGTCCCAGCGGCTCCTCTTCCAGGCCAGCTCTCTGCTGTGGCCTCGGAGGGCAGTGGAGGATGGCCCAGTGCTTGGGCCCTGCGCCCCATGGGAGACCAGGAAGAAGCACCTGGCTCCTGGCTTTGGATCTGCACAGCGCTGGCCGTATAGCAGCCATTTAGGGGGTAAACCAATGGAAGGAAGACCTTTCTCTCTGTCTCTCTCTCTCTCACTGTCTATAACTGTACCTGCCAAAAAAAAAACAGGTTCCACAGGAAGATGAGACAGGTTTGTGAGCATGGAGCACAAGGGTTTTCTTGGGAATAAGTGGGTTTATTGCAGGTAAATTAGAGATAACAAAGACTTTGATGTTACCATACCACGTCCCTGACCCTGAAATAAAGCAACAATGACTGTGTTCCATGCACCTGATTTACAGTGGAATTGACCACGTCCTTGTCCCTGTTCACAGTGTGAGCAGCTTTAATGACATTAGCCTGTCACTGCTTTTCCCTTTGTACTGTCTCAGATTTCTCTTCCTGTGCCTGCCCTTTTGAATGTTGCTGTGTCTCAGGGTTCATTCCAAGAAAGCTCAACCCTCCTGCCATCACCCTCTGCATATCCACCTTGTCCTCAGCCTGCTGAGCTTCCCAGCCGCGTGTGAGATCACTGTCCTGCTGTCCACTCCGTGTGCACCATCCTAACCATGTGTGACATCACTGTCCAGCTGTCCATCCCACGTGCAGCCTTCTAACCACGTGTGACATCACTGTCCAGCTGTCCACTCCATGTGCAGCCTTCTAACCACATGTGACATCACTGTCCAGCTGTCCACTCTGTGTTCAGCCTTCTAACCACGTGTGACATCACTGTCCAGCTGTCCACTCCATGTGCAGCCTTCTAACCACGTGTGACATCACTGTCCTGCTGTCCACTCTGTGTTCAGCCTTCTAACCACGTGTGACATCACTGTCCTGCTGTCCACTCCATATACAGCATCCTAACCACATGTGACATCACTGTCCAGCTGTCCACCCCGTGTGCAGCATCCTAACCACGTGTGACATCACTGTCCTGCTGTCCACTCTGTGTGCAGCCTTCTAACCACGTGTGACATCACTGTCCAGCTGTCTCCTCCATGTGCAGCGTGCTAACCTTATCTGAGATCACTGTCCAGCTGTCTGCTGCACGTGCAGCCTTCTAACCACGTGTGACATCACTGTCCAGCTGTCCACTCCATGTTCAACCTTCTAACCACGTGTGACGTCACTGTCCGGCTGTCCACTCCGCGTGCAGCATCCTAACCTCATGTGGCATCACTGTACCCATAGTTGATACGATGGCCAGCTCTCTACTCCACGTGCAGCTTTTCAGCCATGTTTGAGATCGCTGTGTCCATCTGGCTGTTCCACGTCTCTGGTGGACAGCTGTGTCTGCTCGGCCTCCTTTATGAAGCCAACTTGTCCTGCCGAGTCTTGAGCTCCCGACTTCGCCTTTTCCCTGCTCCTGCTCTCGTAACCCCGCCTTGGGGAAGCCCGTGACCATCATCACCACCCCGCCCATAGTCCACGCAGCCACTGTCAGACACGTCCAGCCGCTTCTACCTCGTCAGCTGTCAGATGCACCCCCTGCTCTGCGTCCGCCAGCACGCTCCTCCCCGTACCAGAGCGCGGCCCTCCCTGACGGCCCGTGAGAGTGACCTGTTGGCGCTGCACCCTGGAGAAGGCCCTGTGTGACTCCACAGCAGGGCACACCAGTGCCGCCTGGCGTGCGGGCCCTCGTGCTCTGCCCCTGCCCGCCCTTCCTGTCTCTGCCTCGTGCCTTCCCTCACTCCCCTCCATGTGCCAGTGTCCCCCATTCTCCTTCTCCTTCAGCGTGAGGGCTGCTGGGAAGCCCTGCTCAGGCGTCCCTGCCGGCCCCCCTCTGCTGCGCCCCTCCCTGTTCAGCTGTGCATCGCCAGAGCATGAGCCCTGCACCCCCGTTAGTGGTCCCCACTGCTGGGCAGAGTAGCCACAAGACAGTTGTCCAGTAAGCCCGTCAGTCTCCCACAAGACAGCGCGTACCCCGGATCGTGGGTGACTAGAGGCGCTCAAGGGTCCGTGACCAGTGTAGGCCAGACGTGAAGACCCTCCTCAAACCAGGCCTCCCCCTTCCATCCACAGAACCTAGGGCAGGCTGTCAGGGGGCAGCTCTGTTCCCCGGGCAGCTCAGGGACATGACCGCAGGGCTGTGGACAAGAGAGGCCAAGAGAAGTGGACGGGGCTCGTCTGGGCCCTGTGACACTGGGAGGTGCAGGGACTTGGAGGAGACGTGTTCCCTGAGTGCAGAGTGGCACGCCAGCATCTGCCTCCCTGAGGAGTCCACGAGGCCAGCCGGGGGAGCTGCATCGTCTCCTCCCTCGGCGTCAGCACCCTGGGGCCGTTGGCCCGGACTGAGGCCTTCACTTCTGACAAGGACGCACATGAGGAGGGGCCCTGCCCCGCCCATGTACCGTCCTGGAGGCGCTGGGCGGAGCAGCAGCCTCCTCTGGCTTCCTGGCTGTGCTCTGGGCCTCAGCAGGGACGTGCTTGGAACACCTGCTGCAACACAGGCCTTCCCTCCCTCCCAGGTCCGGAGCCGTGTGAAGCATGGGTTTGCTCCTAGCTGGTAGAGCAGCGCTTGCAGTGCAGTTTCCGAGAAATTCAACACCCTGCCCGTTGTCAGCGCGTGCCTGGTTTGGCACGGATACTTACACACCGGGGACCTTTCCCGTGGATTTTATAATCTTGCCATGTTGCAGGCCTGCATATGGACAGGAGAGTGTGTTTACTTGTGAATTCTGAGGTTTAAAATCTACTTGTGGACTAGAGAGAGAGTGAAGCATGGGCCACTCTGCAGTTTAAATTCCTCTTCTAAGTGACATTTTTGTAGTCCGTCACTGGGCCCATTTCAGGCGTGCTTGCGTCCCAGCCTCTCAGCGTCCGGCTGTGAACACCGAGCGCCGGTCGTCGCAGCACAGACCCTCCCAGGAAACCACAGCAGGGGTGCGGGAGGACAGCCGAGGGCCTGATGTGCCCACCGGGGCCACGTGCAGACGTGGGCGTGGCTGGAGCCAGCTTCTCCCTGCCTCCTGGGAGAGCTTGTGGTGCTCTCTGGATCTTTCCACACCAGACACGTTCTGTGCACCTGACATGGCCTGTACACCTCACACTGCTCTGCACACACCTTGTAACACCTTACACTGCTCTGCACGCCTCACACCGCCCTCCACACCTCACACCGCTCTGCACGCGCCTCACACCACCCTCCACGCACCTCA